GCAGACCTCCTCCAACTCCCCGCAGCCGCACTATTCAACAAGATCAAAGGCGGCTCCGAACTTCCCGAACACCTTCACGCAGAGGGCGACGTGCTATCCCACCTCGTCGCTTCCCCGATCCTGGACTACGGCGCTAAGAACCAAATCAAAGTATCTCTCCTGCCTAATCCCTCTCATCTCGGCGAGCCTTCCTCTCTTTCTTACACTCGGGTTGATTGTTGAACCTGTACTATGTATATAGAGGCCGTCAATCCAGTCGCGCTAGGCAAAACGCGTGCAAAGCAGTACGCACTGCTCAAGACTTCGCCTGCGGACTGTGAACTCGGAGATAGGGTCATGTGCGTGCAACTGCATGGGGACGCGAGTTTCGCAGGACAGGGCGTAGTCATGGAGGGGCTCGGGCTGAGTGAGTCTTGGTCTTTAATGTATCTGGTCGGAGGTTTGAGTGGTAATCTCTCGTAGGTAATCTACCGCATTTCACGAGTGGGGGGACGGTCCATCTGGTCGTTGAGTACGTCGCGTTCCTTTTTTACTTTAATATGATGTGTTGCTCATCGTTCGACAGCAACAAGTACGCGTTGAGCCACTCTTCTGAGACCTACATGATTGAATCTGCATAGTATCGGATATACCACCCCCGCATCTGGCGCGCGCTCCTCGCTCTACTGCTCGGATATCGGCAAGATGATTAATACACCCGTGTTGCATGTTAATGGCGATTATCCCGAGGGTGCGTTCTTCTTTTCTTTCTATATGCACGGGGAATGCTCATGTTTTACTAGACGTGGTTCGTGCTATGGATATCGCGTTCCGATATAGGAAATATTTCCGTAAGGTGTGTGGTTTCTCTTCTGCGTCTGGGAAAGTTGAACTCATGAGAAGGAAGGATATTATTGTTGACTTGCTTGTCTATCGGCGATGGTGAGTTAGCATGAATATCACGTTATTCTTTTCAAACATCTATGCATTATATCTATTACAGGGGGTAAGTAGCTCTTACGGACCATGACTCACATGTTGACGACTGGAACTCTATAGACACAACGAGCTTGATCTTCCGAGTATCACCCAACCGCTTATGTACGAACAAATCAGCGCGCGTCGTTCAGTGCCTCAGATCTACGAAGAAAAACTCAAGGTCTGTCTGCCCTGTCTTCCTAGTTTATCCTCCTACCTCGTAAAAACTCACGCCCATATAAAATAACAGTCAGACGGAATCATCGATGACCAAACGATTACGTCCGTCCGCGAATCCCACAAAGCCCACTTCGAAGCCGAGCTTGCGCGCGTTCCATCGTACGAACCTGATGCGTCAGCGTTGCTTCGGGACCAGTGGGCTGGTATGGTCTGGCCGGGTAGTGCGGAGGCGGTGCGTGAGCCCGAGACAGGGGTCGGGATGGAGATGTTGAAGAGGGTGGGAAGTGCGAGTGTGCATGTCCCAAAGGACTTTGTGAGTTTTTCCGTCCGTGTTTTCGATTACTTTCTGGTTCGTGGTTGGATTGGGAGGCTGATTGAATGTTTTCGTTTGGGTATCGGTAGGAGGTGCATTCAAAGTTGCAGAGACATATCAAGAACAGGACGAGGAGTTTGGAGAGTGGTGTCGGCATTGATTGGGCCACAGCTGAGGTTTGTGCTTTTGTCGTTGATTTTGTTTATGCTAATGCTCTACATGTATAGGCACTAGCCTTCGGCTCGCTCATGCTTGAGGGATGCGATGTCCGCATCTCTGGGCAGGATGTTGGTAGGGGTACCTTCAGCCAGCGACATGCGATGCTGGTGGATCAGCGCACGGAAAGGGTAACTGTTCCGCTTAATGAGGCGCTTGGTACGGAGGCGAAGTTGGAGTTGGCAAATAGTACGTGGTTCCCCTCATAATCCTTTTTTTTGGAGACTCCAGAATGTTAATGGTGTATGTGTAGGTTCGTTAAGTGAAATGGCTGTACTTGGGGTGAGTTGATACCTTTTCGGAAATTGGATGAATGGAGAGGTGCTTATGGTTTGTGCGTAGTTTGAGTATGGAGCGAGTTGGGAAAGACCGAATCTCTTGCCGATTTGGGAAGCTCAGGTGTGTAACGTCACTGCGTGATATATTATGCGTGACGTATGCTGACTTACGGTCTCGTTCGTCTAAGTTCGGTGACTTTTTCAATGGTGCTCAGGTTGGTCTTGCAATTGGAATTTTGGTTGATGTCGTCCTGATGTTTATTGAAGGTTATCATTGATACGTATGTGGTTTCTGCTGAAGGTAAGGGTCCTTTGGATATAACAAGGGAGCTTTACAAATCTGACGTCGTCTCCTCATAGCCAAGTGGCTTAAACAAAGTGGTATCGTAATGCTCCTTCCACATGGACTCGATGGTGCTGGACCGGAACATTCGTCTTCACGCATTGAACGCATGTTGCAGGTAAGTCATAAGTACTCTACCACAGTGTTTACGTGGATCACGGATGCACTGCTTCTCTAGCTGTCCGACGATCCCTATGTACCGACCCCGGATGGAAAACCCGCCAACGTCAATATCCACGTGGTTTTCCCTACGACGCCGGCGCAGTACTTCCATCTTCTGAGGAGGCAGATGAAGCGAAATTTCCGTAAGCCTCTCATCGTTGCCGGGCCCAAGGCGCTGCTCCGGCTATCCGTGCGTCTTCTACCCCTGTACTTCTTTCGGATTCCTGACAATGCCACAGGCTGCATCTTCCTCGCTGTCTGACCTAGGTGAAGGCACCCGCTTCCAGCCTGTACTCGACGATTCAATCGCGGACGCCAGCCAAGTAAAGCGCGTTGTGCTTCTCTCCGGAAAGATCTACTATGACCTCATCAAGCACCGGGAGACGCTCAACCTTGACGACGCCGTCGCGTTCGTCCGTCTCGAGGAGCTCTCGCCTTTCCCTTTCAAGCAGCTCGCGGACACGCTAAAGCGGTACACTCAAGCAAAGGAGATCATGTATCTGCAGGAGGAGCCGAGGAACCAGGGCGCGTATATGCATGTGATGAGCAGGATTCAGCCTGTATTCGAGGAGATTGGGTATCGGGGTACGTTGGGGTACCGCGGGAGGAAGGAGAGCGCGTTGCCTGCCCCTGGCATCGGGAAGGTGTATAGTGTGCAGCAGAAGGCTGTGGTTGACGCTGCGTTTGAGGACTTGTAGTTTCTGTAATTTCGTGCTGTATTTTTTCTACGTTGCACTTGCCTAAAGAACTGGATGTATTGAGGTTACGAGTAGAAAGTAGGAACCGACCTTAGCTCAGTTGGAAGAGCGTGAGACTGTAATGGATAATCACTATATCTCAATGTCGCCTGTTCGAACCAGGCAGGTCGGATGTAATATTTTTTTTTGTTATTTTATTTATCTTGCATGGATGCCCAAGGCCCCTGTGTACTAACAACAACCATCGGCACAGAATCGTCTGATGTACGTTCCTCAAACAATCGGACAAGGTACCCTTCTCGTATCCTCTTGTTGTCTTGAGCTTTGCAATCCGAGTTTCTAAGTTACCTCGCGACGCACAGAAAGTATGTCCTCAAACGAACCTCATAAGGTCGGAGGTGCAAAGTTCGTGAAGTCTCAACAACAGTGAGCCCGTCGGATGAATGACAAAACATTTCTTATGCAGGTAGGACTATGTCTATCGTTACCAAAAGAGCTGTCTACGTCGGAGCAATTCCGGTAAGAAATTGTCTTTGTTTTCGAACCACGAAAACTCCTTCCAATCTTCGCACTCTCTCTCAAGATGCAGCCTCCGCACCTTTGTCACATCGCCAAGAAAACTCTTTTCCAAGGGGGATACATCCAAATCTCCTGTTATGTGACCACATGTTATAAAGACATCGAGGCTTGCGCTAGTGCAAGTAGTGATGAGACGAGATAACCATTCAACGTGTCCGGGAGATTCAATGGGCATACTTATTCTCAAACTCGAGAGACTGCTATTTTTGTGAAGAGATAGTGGGGGAAGATCTGTCCCGGAAGAAGGTTAGCTCAGATATGAAGCCATTTTTTTCAAAGCTTACAAAGGTAGAACCAGTCGCCATATGATCGAAGAGTCAGATGCTGAAGGCGAGGTCCTATAGCTTCTATATACCTTAGAAAACGCAACTCGAATAGATTCTCGGCCGAAATACAAAGATTTTGGAGAGCGGGAAAGGTCACGCGGGTGTCGCTTTCTAACAGCGGTGCAGTCATCATACTGGCGGTTATGCGGAGAGTGTGCAGATGAGGAAATAATGTAGATGATGGCAGAAGAGTGTCTGTTTCGTCCTCGTATCCTGAATACACTTGACCCTCGATATCAAGATACTCAAGATTCGGGGAGATCTGGGACGACAGAAGTAAGAAGTCAGTGAACTTCATAGATCTAAAGTTGACCCTATTCCATGACAGGTGTGATATTTGAGGTAGAGAGCGGAGGCCATCTCTAACACGGTCACTCAAACGATCCCATAAGAACCAAGACAAGTCGAGCGTACGGGCGGCATACAAGCAAGGCAAAGCGGTTTCAGCGAATGTGTTCAAAATGTCATACTCCGGCTCGGTACCATGGCACAGACTTCCCACACACCATTCGTCTGGCCCGCGAAATCGAAAATTAAGGATATAAGATGACGACCTCGAGTGGAGCGACTGAAGAAACTGGATTGAGTATGACGCTTTTGCAAGTACACTCTGATCAGCAGAGATAGTAAACACAGAATTGGAGAATAACCAATGTCGGGCACGCGGAAGCCACCAAGAAGAGACGAGGCAGCATTCACTGAGAACTTCATTTTTCTCCTTGAGAGAAGTAGTTGCATCGTAATAAACTTCGTCTATAATCAGGCTTTCAATTTCATGAGGAATAGACAATATATTCGAGGTCCTGTCGTCTTATGAGTGGCTGGACTAATACTGAGTCACCTTGAGTCTTACGCTGGGACTTTTGCCATTCTTGTGAGCCAGACGAAAAAGGTTGTTTTTCTGGGAATATCGTGCATAAGAGGACAAGTATATCTGATGGCGGCAATCCGCCGCAATCCTCACCAGAGCGTATCTCGTTTATCACAGCTCGGCAGATGTACAACTTTAACGTTCAACTACAACCTTGAAACGGTTGTTGGCCGGGGCTTGATGCTTGAAGGGGGCGTCAACCGCTGTCAACCGTGCAGAAATGTGGAACGCAAGGCTATCCCGATAAGAGTAGAGTTCCGTCACACGAAGCTAGAGTCTCACGATAGAACTGGTGTAAGTCCTAGTATTGTGAAAAGCTACCCTACACACTAGATAGTTCTGATATTTATACGAAAGACATTAGTTATGATTTGCTAATCATAACTAAGAGACAGAATAGATGAAGAGATAAGAGCGCCCGCAGTGTCTGATCGTGACGGGGGTTGTCTGAGTCACGGTACCGCTACAAAATGACATCACATCTTTACGTTGCGCTGCTGACTAATCTCTCGACATGTACATAACGAGCTACGACCTGTGCCTTCGGCACAGGCCTTGTATCTCATTGGGGGCTTCGCCCCCAAACCCCCCGCCACTCAGCCTCCGCTATACCTCACTTCGTGAGGTATAGCTTCAAATCCCACTGAGTAACTAAGGCTCCGCCATAACCTCACTTCGTTCAGTTATGGCTCCAAATC